ATATTTCTACAACCGTGACCTGAATGAGCCTACGGTCTTAAGAAAACATTGACGCATTGGCAGTTTTCTCAGTTTAGCAGTATTATAGCTATAATGTAACATGCCAACACTGGCGAGCAGTACATTATTGTCTCTCTGTGGCCTCTAGCTCATCGAGGCGAGTAATCAGCTGATTTGGCTGTAAATGTAATGTATACATATGCGCGTATCGCGCATATCTCGGGCCCGCAGTAAGTGGCACTTACGCTGTTGCGGATTCCTTGCCATTGTAAGCTGCGACGTAGTAGCTTGACAACTCACAGGTGAGGATATCATAGATACGATTTGTGGTTTGAATTAGTCAGATATAGTCATATAGAGAAGTTTGAAAGTGTGTATATTCATTATTGAATTGTACAATAATATTACTAAAGGTTTGGAGCACAACCTGGTGTATATACTGTATACAAACTTACAAGGATCTGTAGTGCTGTACCAGTGGCAACGAGGCTAACATGCATCGGCATGTTTTAGACCCTGGATTTTGTTACCACGGTCCACAATTGGCATGTCTAGGCCGAGTTTAGGCGCTAATAACAAACCTTATGAAGCCGGGAAACACGGTATTTTTTACTAAGTAGAATCACCGTGCAATATTGCAATGTACAGACATTTTCTTGACTCTCCCGGTGAGTGCAATTCAGGCGAGGGAGATGTCCCTGTATTATTGCCATGTTGGCGCTTTTGGCATGAAATGATAGTGTGTATCATCTGCATAACATTTGCTATTTACCTCGATTTTAAGGTTTACATATATAGTCATTTAACTTGCGATGGTAACATAAATGTTTTCCCCATTCAACAGCTCAGTGCGCAGCTTGTATAATATCGACATTCTGTCGATTCGCCGTTCTAATTTTATATGTTTCCCAGTTCAACCGTTTAATTTTATGACCGGGTGCGGCATTTTAGTAATGCATCATGTGTATTTTTAGTATTAGTAGCTGCTGTATTTCAAGCTGTACATTGTCCGCCGGGTCGGCGTTATAAATACCGTTTTTGTGACTAAGTTAGTCTACGGCTTGAGTCTTCCGCAAGGTTGATCATTGGCATTGCCAAATTGTGCATTATCCGCCGAGCCGGCGTTTTGACAATGCAATATGCCGTTTTGGCGACTAAGTTAGTCTACGGCTTGATTCTTCCGCAAGGTTGACCATTGCCCATTGGATTGCCATTGCCAAATTGTGCATTATCCGCCGAGTCGGCGTTTTGATAAAGCAATATGCCGTTTTGGCGACTAAGTTAGTCTACGGCTTGATCTCATATTGTACTCATACGAAGAGACAATCTAGCAATTTTCGCAACGTTGGCCATTGCAGAGTTTCATGTATTAAGCTCCGTCGTCGCCTGCCACTAATCCACTGTCATTGTCATGTTGACGTGTTTTTAATATAAACTGCCGGGCGGCAAGATGTCGATATTCAGGTCTGACTGGACGGTATTTTTTCATCCTCTTGTACCAAATGTTGCCTCTGCTGTCCTTGGCTTTACATACACGCCGAGTCGACGTGTTTATAATACAATTGCCGGTTCGGCAAGATCTCGTGTTCAGGTCTGATTTCGGTGTTTTTCGACCTTTATTAATCCTTTATATATTTTGCCGCTTCGGCGAGATCTTTCAGTGTGACAGATAGCCCTTGGTCCAGGCATTGTTGAAGAAGATAGGGTTGATTATTTCCCTGTCATTGAGGCTGTGCGAAGTCCCGCCATATTCCTGTACTTGACGGTTGTGTATATTATTAAACGCCGTGCACAAGGTCACATTTCGTTCGACATTTTTTCGTCTTATAACACCCATTGTGTGATGAAAAAACCCCTACATGGCGAGAAAACTTGACAAATACTATGTTAGAAACAATCACCTCGTGTATTTTAAGGCAGAAACGTAAAATATACTTACATATTTTGTTCCCGCTAAAGAAAGCATGTGAACATTCTCGATCATTGCTTGCAATTGAACATTCGATCTGCGTGCGCATATCTCACATGACTCCTTAGTGACGTAGTCCAATGACGAAATAGAATTATTAATTTCCCAACATAAATATATGTTAGCCATAGGTATGTTTTTATACGTAATATAAGCCTCAATTTAAGGTAAAATTCAACCACAAACGCTTCGCAAAACGTTTTAAAGTCACTAGTGTTCATTATAAAACTAAACTGCCTTTTAAAATGGCTTTATCGATAAACTTTGAGTTAGCAATAAAATGATTTCAAATTCTGGCTTGCAAATAACTCAGTGCTTTCTTTTTTATTTAGAAATTCAATATCATAAAAAAGGGAATCAATATTAAAGATACACTAAAATTATATGCTGTTTGCCTGTTTGTTTAGTTGTTTCATATACGTAAAGGCCGTCGGGTTTTAAAGCCATTATAAAATCAATATTTAAAACAAACTTACCTTCGTTAACGTCGGCTCGCTTCTTTTAGACGATTCTTTCGCAGTTTCATTTTGAGAGAGCTTTTGAAATTTACAAAATCTTGCAAAAATGCGAGTAAAAATGAAATATATTTGCAAGAAATTTATCAATCATCAAATCACAGAATAGGAAGTTATACCAGAAGCGTAACTCTAGTCGTTTCCCTTATTGTTTGACGTCCACGAAAATTTTAACTCGCTCACGTCAGGCCACGCCATCCTGGCTAGTACAGCCGGAAGTTTTATCAGGATTTGGTAGGTACAAAGTGCCGGTTGTACTAGCCAGGATGGCGTGATTGATGACGAATCGCTTGTAAAAACGCGGACAAATATTTGCTCGAGTTACGCTTCTGGTATAACTTCCTATTCTGTGATCAAATCAAGAAATGTTTGCTATTTCGCTGTCGTGATACATTCGTGCCAGTCGTTATAATGCAAAATTTAAATTGGACCAATCAGTGTCTGCTATTCATGACAGTCCGCCATATTTTTGAGATCAGTGAGGATGACCACCACCACCCATCGTTGGTCACCACTGAGCTATACTATATTACTGGAGGACCTGCTCGGGAAAAAAAAGTGAAGCCAAAAACATGGCGGATCTGACGCCATTGCCATGACTACTGGTCCCTAAATTCATGGCAACTACCACTGTCCCAACCGCGATCCTAAGTTTTCGACAATGTACTTCACCCCCCTGGTTTCAGCACAGATATTTTATGATTTCGCTTGTTTTTGAGGTAAAAATCGCACTGAAAATCTTGATATTTTTCTCCTATAACTTGGTTGATTTACAATGTCGAGGATCCTGCCTTTTTGCGCCGCTCGTAGATGTATGAGATGTACAAAAAGAATATTTTTATTCACCGGTAAGATTTTTATATATTGTAGAAAATTTGAAGCAGAAGTACAAACTACAAAGTTTATAATACTACGAACATAAAAGTATATGAACAGCAAATTATTAGCAGACATAACAACCTGTAAATGGTTGGCAATTCTGTACATTTTATTGTTCTTTTGATTTGGTACTACTACTGCTATATAGCGATATTTGCGTAGGGTTTCATGGCTGGTTAATATGATTTCAAAGTCCTTGCTGTAGTGTCTGCACACTTGTATTTATTTAGTATTTTAGTATATTAAATTTTCCTTGACAAACTTTGAGTGATATTCTTGCCAGGTTCTTGCCAGCAGTTGTTTATAATTACTGTGTAGTCACATGAAATCTCACTTACATGACATGTAGACAAGTGAACAAATACTTTGCTAGCTAGGCCAAAGACATCAGGTTCAAACCATTCAATACCCATTGCAATCAAGCAATTACCATAAACATATAAGCCCCCCCCTCCCCCCAATATAAGCCCCCCTGTGTATAATCCCATCATATTTACTCAGGCTATTCCGAATATAAGCCCCTCCCCCCTCTAATGTAAGCCAGGCCTGTGTGTACAAGCCCATGGGCTTGTATTATTTGACAAGGGCCGGTTGTATCAAGCCCGTTTAGCTTAATTTCTCATGAATCAGTCAACTTAAATATTCTGCACTGAATATGTAGTTGTAAACATCATTCTATTAAGGTTCAAAACTTCTTAGTTTGGTTGTTGAATGAATCTATACAGTCTGAGTTGCTTTCTATTTTGAGCTTAACCAACGTTTAAGGAGGCTCCCTACAGTTGCGTGCGGGATGTTCGCGGGACCAGTACGTGAACTATCCCACGCAACCGCATGATCAAAACAAAACAAAATATTTTTTTTTAAAAAAGCTATTTCTGAAAGGTTTCTAATGGGAAAAAGCGTTGAATAATACTTCGTTTTGAGTGCCAAATTACTTGCGAGTCTATACAGCAATTCTACATATGATACGAATACCACTAGACCAAAAATAGCTACGAAACAATGTTTTTTAATGTTTTTAAAATATACATTGTCAACTGTAAAACATTTGCAAAATTGCATACAAACGTTTAAAAAGTTGTTTACTTCTCAAGAAAACATTCACGTTTTTAGTCGTGTTTCTACAAGATTAAAGTGATTATATGTAAACAGAAAAATATTTCAGTTTCATAGCCTAATTGTTCATTTTTAGCAAAAAGTACAAAACCAAACATGAAACAAAAACACGTCCACCTGTTAATAGGCTGTTACAGCTCATAGATTGAGTAAACGGCAGGATTCAATTAACTTCAACCTTGTTTTCATCGATTTAATCCTTCACAATAATCCTTGGCTGTCCATAGCACTCAAATAAATCGAAAAGTTGACAAAAACAAAACAGTAAAAACAACATTGCGGCTCGATTTTGCTGAATGAAAACTCGTTCTGCGCCCGCGTACAATCTTTTACTAGTCAGCGACGCTTTTCAATAGGGGAATTTCTCGAGTTACACGCGAGGCTATTTTCTAACTTTATTTGCATTTTACTCATTAGTTTCGTCGGTGACCTATCTTCAAATTTTAACCACGAATTTATTTTGCGGTAAATTTTATAAATTTCAAATTTTAAAAAAATCTGTAGTGTGGAAATTTCGCAATAAATTTTTCGCTTTTAAAAAAATCACACACTACAGAATTTTTTAAACTTTCACCACAGTTGCAGAGCATCATTCCTTATTGATATATGAAATAAAAAAGATAGGTCACCGACATCGTTTTTGAGATAGCGGCACATTTATGGGTTAAATTGGAAGGCTTTATGCTGTCGTCATGTTGCCACGGGAACATTGACATCGTCGAAATCTAGTTCGAAATATTCCTTAGGTGACCAATATTACCACCAAGTCGAAAAGAATTCGCGTTCTGCACGAATAAGCCTGTTTTACGGAATTGTTGCTTAAACAAGAATAACTGTAGGGAGCCACCTTAAGCTAAACAGGCTTGATACAATTGGCTCCAGGTATATTTATTAATGCAGCTTTAGCCATACATATTAGAATACAAGCCCAGGGCTAGCTGGCTTACATTCAGAGGCCGGTTTACAATATCTCGCCCAACATATTGTTTGTCAGAGTTCTATAAATCCCACAGTCATTAGAGGTAATATAGGAATGACAGGTGCACAATATGTGTGCCAGTCACCTTGGCATTGACCGGCCAACCTTATGCTCTGACAATTAACCTAAATTGATTGATGATATGTTTGAGAGCAGTTTCAGGTTTCAGTGGTGGTGTCCCCAGTATTGGAGTAGAGCTCAAATTTCAGTTAGATATATTATTTGTGATTGTTGTGAATCTTCTCACTTAGATCATTTGTGATATATTGTAATTAAATGTAAAATGAAACTTTGGGAAGTTAAGAAATACAATTAATTGACAAGACTGCCCCCTTGACAAGTAAAATTGTCAGGCATTAGACTGCCTGAGTAAAATAATAAGCTTGGGTGCAATTAACTGCTGTATGCTTTAAAGTTGGTTGCATGCTTTAAAGTTGGTTGCAAGCTAGCTAGGCTTATAAATGCCAGAACTCATATGTGAAAAATGCTTGGATCAATCTATTTCATCCGTAATGAACCCATTTTTAATCCTTTAAGTGGCAATGCGCCCCACTACAATATTTTACTCTGTCCAATGCCAGACAATTTTACTCGTCAAGTTGAGAGTGCTGCCCCTCAATGGGTTCAGTTGCATTGCACCCTACTGTATATGTTCGTGTTACTTTGTCTAACGCCAACAATTTTACTTGTCAACAAGAGAGCACAGTGGTACGTGCTGAATGGGTTAACATATAAATAATGTCTACTCTACAGTAAATTTCCCTGTAATTGGACTTTGGAGCCTGGTATATGTGACTCACTATTTCTTCAAAGTGTGTTCTAATGATACTAGCTGTCACTATTTTATAAATATAATTGACATTTCTCATTTAGGGTGATCCGGGATGTAAGTCATGTGGACAAGTTCTTTGGAATGTTCAAATAACAAGAATAGTGGTGTTATAGTAGTGGTGGCACTTGCCAGACCTACCGTAACTGGAAAAACTAACAATCATCTTTTCTCCAAATTAAGTCTTATATCAGGCTTTTTTTCAGGGATTTTTTTTTTAGGGCCGTTAAACAGCCCCAAAAAGTCAATCTTGAATTGAGTTTTGAAACTCAATCTTCTCACCAAAGTTTCAGTGCAGTGAAAATGAAGTTGTTTGAGTTAAATTTGTGACGTGTGGAAATTAGTTTTCAGTTGGAAACCCGACAATTAAGAAAAAATGGCTGGAATTCATCTCACAACACAAGAAAAACTATGCATTCGCCATCTTTAACCAGTTTATAGTGTCCCTCAATGCCCCTGCTTTAGCACATTCCGTCTCAACTACATTTGTTGAGTACAA